AGTATCTGCAAAATGCACATTCTAATTTGCAAACAGGCATTTAGGTTTGTAGAACAATGCAATCTTATTATAAACTACTTCAATAGGTAGTAGCAGATTAGATGCCTATTGCCAGCACGAGCACATAAGAGTAAATAAAAACACTTTTTTGACACCCATGGGTGATAAAGATATACTGTAACAGCTTATTATTGACCATTTAACCTTCTGAAGAAAATAAAAAATATTTTTAAACATACCCAAGCATTTAAGTCTACACTAGATTTCTATAACACAATACACTAAAGAATGGTACCTGAAGTTGTTTTAATGCTAAGAACTGAATTTTACAAAAAAATTGGGATAACCCTTTGTTCTACTAAACTCTTTAAGTTACGCAGAAGTTACGTTCAACCTAATAAAACTTGTTAATATATTAATAAGTTTTATCAACTCATTACCACACAGTTCTAGGAAGGAACCACCAACAATATTTACATTCATAACTGAAATATTGACAACCCGCAGACTTTTCTTAAATTTTATTTAAATGAAGTTCACGAAGTATATTCACAATGCATAAGAATTTGTATGTATGGTGTATTTATTTCTGCATACACTAAAAATTATTGTTGTTCAAGGTGCAAACAAATACTCCTTTTCTCAGCATTAGTAAAGACTATTGAATAATATGCATGACCAATAATTCTAATTAGAATCATCATAATAACTTACCTTCACACTGATTCCTTGGTAACACTTTCCATCTTGTTTTGATAACTTGTTCCAGAATTTGGAGGGCATAATATTTAGTTTGTTGGTTACTAGAAAATTCCAGGATTGTGTCAACCCTAGTCCAAGCATCAGGATGTTCCTTAAGTGACGTCAACACTTCTTGAGCAATTCGTTGCTACACAAAAGAAATAAGGAAAACATTAAAAAAAGAAGAAATTATAAACTACTGGGTTCTTTCCAAAATGTTCTTATAAGTACAAACCTGTTCGCCAATGCCACTGTACATACATCCTACAACATTGTCTAGAAGGTTGATGTCCAGTTTCTGGTTGAAATCAAGCAATTTTGATGCCTGTTCTGCTAATGTAGCCATGGTGGTCCGAGATTTTCTGTGAGAAAGGAATTGTCAAAAATGAAGTCATGAAAACATTTAAATTCACACCATCAACCAATGTAAAACAAACAGCACCTATAAAGGCATTGAAAGGTCTTTCATTAAGAAATATCACACTATAATAATACCAGAAAAATGTATTTCTATGGAAAATAGAACAAATTGTTTCATCAAAAAATCATGACTTTATTAAAAGAAAGAGTTCAAAACATGTATGAGAATGATCAGTGGAATAGTACAAACTAATGTCAATTCATTGAAACTTAAGTCAAAATGTTTACAGTACAGCATGATAACAGTTTCATAGTGTGGTTATTTTACTAATAATTACCTTCAAATCATAATTAATTACCAAAATTATTTAACAAATATGTCTTTCTCAAAAGAATATTTACCTACTTTACTCCACAGATTTTTATCTCCAATGAATTGGATGTTCGACACAAATCTTTTCTCAGCTTTTCCAGAATGTTGACCAGATAAAGGAAATGCAAGTCCTAACAAAACAAAAGTATTCTTCAAACAAGCAGTGAGACAAGACTGACAAAAAATGTATATTTGAATGAAGTTTTCATTAGTACTAATTATGATGTGATCAATAAATATAAAAAGGCACCGATCATCCAATTCACTGAAAATAAAAATCTGAAATAAAATATGTATGTTCTTTCAAGAAACACAAACTTCTTTACTAAAATTTTCCAATACTTTTCACAAATTCAGTACTCTAAACTAAATAATGTTCAGAATGATTTTCCAAAGCAACATTATTGTGCAGAAAAATTTACATTTTTAAAACTATGAAGAAATCAATTCTGTTCCACCAATGTTGTAACAGCAATTATTGATACATTTTTGAATTCCTTTAATTCCTTCTCTCTACATGCAGGACTTGCATGTAGGACAACAATTTTCAACAAACAGTTCACAAAATCTGTTGACAATTTCAACAGGCTAACAAATATCTGCAGCTAATGTACAGAGAGCATTCATTAATATTATTCAAAACCAATTAATTTTATCAGGGAGATGAAGCAATGATTCCTCTTCCAATATTACTCGCACAACAAACATAAACCACGTTTTCATGCTTTACCAAAATTCTTACACTCAAATAGTGATTGAATATTTAGAAGGGAAGAGATGAAAAACATTAACTGCTAAATGTTGCGAGACGTAATTGCAAAGAGTCACTAACATAAATGGTAATTAGACAAGTTCTGAGGAAACTATACACCTAGCATTTACTAATAGTCATTAAGTCTTATTGAAGACCATCTTTAAAATCAAAAATATTTTTCAATAATGAAATAAATAATGGAAGGAAAGTAATTTCTGATTTTTCATGTTGATTATTCCAGTTAAAATAACCCAACCTAATAACACAGCCGATTTCAAGGAAAGAATATTAAACGAAAATTTAGAACTGGCTGTCATAAATTCGGAACAAGTCTTTCAGAGGATGATATTTGCCAGTTTCTAAAAATCCAGGTTATAAGTAATTGTTATTACTTCACCAAGAATCCAATGGTTTTGTCAACAATCATTAATTTTCCTAAATATATTTACAAACAAGAGTTTATTAGGGAAAGTAAGTTAGTGTAATGTAATAAGTTAAAACAACCTTCAACACTTACGCTCTCCTCCACCAAATAAGACACTAAAGCTTTTGAAAAGTTATATCACACACCCTTCAAGAACCTGGCAAACTAAAGCTCTCCTGAATTTCAATTTGACAATCGTCAATGTAGATCTTAGTAGTCTGCATTGATTTCAGATCCTCTTTGATGGTTATCGAATTCAAGATCATTCTCGAACCTGCTTTTTGGCAGATGAAAGTAAGAACAATAGAATGTTCTTTGAGAAGCATTCCTGAATTTTATGAAATATCTGGAGAGCAAGTCTACAAAAAACCGATTTGATTAATATCAAATTCTTATGTTAGGACCTCAAATCTAGTTATGTGTAATCTACTATAAAAAGAGAATAATTTAAATCTTAATAGTACACACCAAGCATTAGGATCATAAGGAAATTCCAGGAATAACAATATTAAGTCAAATTTGCACATCATTATTAACAAGCTAATATAGCTGACCTTAGGAGTTGCAAATATATTAATAAAAATAATATCTAAGGATTAGTAGCTGTATTTTCAGTCTTTGAATGTTTTCTTTGTTTCTAACCTATTTCTTCAATCTTCTTCAAGGCTTTAAAATAACATAATTCCTTCAATTATATTAGTTTAATGATGCTTCAGTAAAATAAAATGAAGTGAAACAATAAATACCTTCCAGTTGCATCTCCTCAACTAATACTTCAACAATGAGCCTGTACAATGAGGCATCTTCAATGAAGTTTCTAAATCGTATTCTGAAGAAATTTTGATAGCTTAATATCCATTTCCTTCACATATCCTTATCATTAACATTACATATTAAGGGTTTACAATACAACACTCAAAAACATCTCCAACATGAAAAGGATGATAATTGATGAATTAACACTTTACCCGTTACTATTTATCAAACTACCTACGTAATTTTCCACTGAATAGTCAAAAATCCCAAATTTGAGTGTACATAAAAGAAAATAAGATGCAATAATTAGAGAAAAAGAAATATGCCAATTGTTTATATTCCTGTATAACTTACATGCACAGATCAGCAGCAACTTAGCCCCTGCTTCGGAAGAATACTTGAAATCACCATTCCTTTGATGAAGATCCTCACCCTTTCAAAAATTAGAAAATATATATTTTCAAACAATTTAATATAAACGTGCAAAATATTATAATCAAAAATATCAAGTTGTATTTGTTTAAATGTCTAATCTACATACAAATGAGAAAAAAAGCTGCATATTATTGGAGAAAAAAGAAAGATCTAATATTATTGATGTACTACACAATACTAAACATTACTCACAAAACAGGCTTCAATACATCACCAGACTTTCCAGAATATTGGTTTTCAAATAAAAAGTACTGTTTACAAAGACCTGCTTATCTGTCACCCGAAAGACCGATTTCTTTCCCTGCATTAAAATTTATTCAGCGTGGAAATGTGGTCCCATAACCATGCGCTTACTCCACATCCCCTTTAGAGGTTATGGTTTGATAGCTTTTCTTACATGTCATTTAAGAACCTTTACTACGCACGCTAAATCAGTAAAACTGATTCATGGTTTAAGTACTGCCGAACGATGAGCATACAGATGACTAGTTTCATAAACTAGTTCGGATATAACCTACATTACGCTGGCAACAAGAAACGCTAATACAGCGAAATTTAGTCTATACAACACAGTTACCCTACTTCACAGAAAAAAGCACAACACAACACCGTGCGTCTGTGGAAACCAAAATGTAATGCAAAACATCATTAAATACGGTAACATGTCAATAGATCCAGACCCTGCTTAGTTTATCCAGCGGTGGACTGTACTACGATCTTGATTCCTCGGGCAAACACGAACTTTTTCAAACAAGTTGGTGAGTGGTTGACACTTGCAGAAACACTTAATTTAAAATATTTAACAATTATCATCAGAACAGTAACACAAAAACAATCACGACACAGCCGTTGCGCTGCAATCCCATCTTCCCGCGCGGTATGCACCGAGTACCGCTAATGCACGAGGTATTCACAAACAAAAATGGCGACTTCCGTATTTGGGAAGAGGGTATAGTTCATAAGCTTGGACGTCTTAACAAATTGCTGAAAATTGACCATAGTCTAGAATATGGAACCTATCTAAGGCGTCTTAGCAGCTTAATGTTTAATTTCCAAAAGTCGGTGTCCAGTCTTAATATGATTCAAAATGCATACTTCTATGAATGATGAAAGTACAATGATGCACCAAAATAGAACATTTTATTAGCTGCACATACCTATGGTAACATTGACGTATGTGTTTTAAATGCGTGTACATAAAAATAACAATTCATTTCAACCGCTAATGCAACCTTAAATGTTTTCGAAAATACCAATATGGCGACATTTCATAGCCTGGAATCGCTAGGAAACGCATCTCTATTGGTCCACCAAAATATTCGCCACCAACTGCTACATATGAGTCTGGGAAGTACAAATAACGACACATGACGTCAAAATCAAAAAAGATCCCTCTTACAAATAAGGAATCAAATACTTAATTGATGGTGATGGACACGAAATATTATTTCAGTGAATAGAAAAAATGTCCCGACCGACCTGGCTAATAATAATTTCCCTACAGAATGGGCAAAAAGCATGTGTACTCCTTACATTCATGTGTAATACTATGATTACTTACGTATTATTTTCCTTCTGACTATATTACACGCAGACTATTACACATCGGTTATTATTGATAATCAGGAATACTAAAAGCAAAACCATTACAAATTTGAGTATTTTATGGATACTTTCCATGTATTTGTAGGCAGGAGCTATTCGCCATTTCAGTAGTTTATGGTTCACAAAACTGTGCCAGGGAGGTTCCCTCAAAATTTGGGGAGATTATCTCCGTCCAGTTATCTCCGTCAACGGAGCGAAGTCTTCCAGCCGTCAGCAAGGTTCTGAGGATACTTAAAAAAGCCAAATACTCCCTCACAATTCAAAAATATTTTGGTTAGATGAACAATGCTTGTATGCCTGTTGAAATTCGAAAATTTTATATTTAAAAGTACATTGATAACAAATGTTTACATTCAATGTACGATATGTCTCATTATGACGTTTCTTTCTCATGACGTTTACTCACTCTGCCCTCTCTTAAAGCATGTCATCGGCCCGCGGAGTACGTGACATGCGTAGAACCGTGCTCTTTTGTCCGACGGCCTCATCCCTTTCCCAGGTTTTTGAGACGGTTGGCTAATATCACTGATCCATCAGGAGATACCCTTCAACATCCATCCAATTATTTGGGGGGGGGGGGCGGCATCGCAGATTTTTATTAAATATCAAACATATTTGTTATTATATTGCGTATTATTAATGTATAGTGAAATTATTTCAGCGTGTCCGCCGAAGGTCGATGGCTCACTGCTGCCGCAGGGTCCATTCCTCAAACTTATCGGTTTAGGGGGAAGCGCGTCCCTTCCCAGCTCATGTTGACAGCCCTATTCCAGTTGTGTAAACATTTACCCTGACTATTCGTCTCCGCAAAGTGCAAGTTTTCAGTTGCGTTCCTATACCCGAGTAAAGCGATTTGTGTGAAGTTTTGTTGCAATGCAATGCATGAGTAAGTTGCATAAGAACGTCCTTCACAGTCAGACGCATGAATTAGTGGCGTAGGTATATCAATTTACAAAGAGAGAAGCAAAATATTTTATAAATATCAAATCAGTTCTTAAGGGAATAGTTGCTGCTTCACGTGTCTCGAAAATATTTATTCGCAAAATTAATAAGGAAATTCATTACATTCAATCGGAAGAAAGGTGTTCATTTTTATCTCCTAACAAAGAAAAAAAGATAAAGGACGTGGAATCTGCTCTCGACGGTTTCAATGCGAGTTTGATTCGCCGCATAATGATTGAATCTACCATATCAAGAAATCGTTCTTTTTTACCGGAAATAACGCAAACGATAGTAAGGACAATGATAGTGATACTAGTTATGACAGTGAGGAAACGGGTATCAGTGACAGTGGAAAAGATATGGATGATGAGAGGAGAGCCGGACCATCGTCCATATCTTATGGGAGCAGAACTATGTATTTGGTGTTTCTCCACTACCGAGCGAAGACACTACAGCAAATTAATTTCCAAGGAAGTTCGCTAGCACGAGACTACAATGTTAGTGTTTTGGGCGGCACATTGTAATTTGTTTACATGTTGATCAGGTGTAAAGTTACCGCCTAAATTAATGTCATTCTGCCCTCCTCTGATAATGACTGTGGCCTGATTAGTGAGTGTCTTTGTGTGGGTGTCCTACTCTGCAGTCACGTCTGCAAACCTCCCGTTAGGTTTAAAAATAGATGAGACTGAGAAGTTGGAGGGTAACTTGCTACTGAGTTAGGGAGTTGTTCATTTCTGTTCTTCGGCTTTTCTTATATTTAAATCTGGCATTGGTCTGCCGAGTTCTTTTATTCTCAGCTTTTCTTCCTTAGAAAGCTGAGGAAAACTTTTATCCTGTGAACTCTATACAGAATTCATTGTAGAAAACTCACATACATAAGTTCCATAAACCTATTAATTACCTAATAAATGACGTTTGACTACTTGTAATCACCGTAATTCACAGCATAGCTCACACAAAACTCATCTACGAAGCATACGAGAATACGCAACTGTGCCATTTATCTTCGTAATTTCATATACCTCGGTGGCTGAAATCCATCACGGGCTTGAGAGTTGCTGCAGCACGTGTCGGTTTTGGGAATAATTTGCAACACATTAGAAAGAGTATGGCATAATACGAAGTAGAAGTTCGACTCGTATCATACGCCAGGACATCCTATTGTTGTAGTTGAAATCCAACTCCCTCGTCAGCTCTCGGACGCTCGCTGAGGCCTCTCTTCATTTGTTAACGCTCGTAGATAAGACGTTCATTTACCACTCGCACGTTAGACCATTCGCACGTTATTATAGTTATTTTTTTAATGTTAACGTGTCAAGGCCGAAAATTTCTGGTTGTTGTGCAACACTGCAATAATGCCATGTATCGCCACTGCCACCACCAATCTTACCCTGCTAGGCGCTCGTAACACAACCAGAGGAAATGTAAATTAACTTTCAAACTTTGGGGTATTACTTTTTTCTACCCAAAAGTACGATTTTTCAAACCAAACGGCCTTTTGTTTAAGTTCAAGTTCATTATTGGCTTACGGCGCTGCTATTGGTATTCTCCGAATTTCATGTTTAAACTTGACGAAATAATAACATATAGAAAACAAAATTGAAAGTGTTGTAGTGCTTTAAGTCGCTGTCTGTGTTTATTATATAATTGTATCTGTTAAAGTAAGTATTCATGAACTATGTAATCGATAAGTAGAACATGTCAAAGTTGCTCTGAGTCGTAGACAGGAAAACGAAATTATTGAAAGGAAGTGGACAACAAAAAGTTCCTAATCATAGGTGTTTCGATTGTAAGGCATGTGGGAGAGAAAACGAACAAGCTACTGTTCTGTGTTTTCCTGGAATACAAACAGATGAAATGTTACGCCGAGTGGAAGAATGTGAAAACGCAAAATTGGAAATAGTGGTGGTACACGTGGGTACTTAGTACTTACGGCGACGTTCATCAGACTATATCATCGTACGACCTTGTGAAGAAGGCGAAAGAGAAGTTTCCAATGGCCAAAATTTTTGTAAGCGTTGTATTAAGGAAGAATGGAGTCGAGTGGCGTAGAATTCGTACTCTAAATGCAAGTTTTGAGTGGGTAGCAGAATATATTAATGTAGTCTTTGTAGATCCGAACAGATGGATTGCAAGTAGAGAATTTGGACGTGATGTAGTCCATCGCAATAGGCAATGAGCAACTCGATTCGGACAGCTGTAGTTGCAGATTCTGTTGTTCCCTTGCTCTCACGCCTGTTGAAAGATGGCACGATGCCAGAAAATACTCGTGTAAAGGATATGTTAACAGCGTTGCAGGTAAATCGCCGAAGTGTAGTAAATATGCCCATAGAATTCAATAATATATTAGAAACAAAAAATGCAGATATAGTTGTAGGCATTGAGTCATGGCTGAGTCCCGATATTAATAATTTTGAAATACGTATTGAAAAATACGCAGTGAATAGACATGACCGAGGATGCAGGGAGGTAGGGGTGTTCATTTGTGCAAAATCCGAGCTAAAGAGTTCACTTTACATCATAGGCGAAGAATCAGAAATTATGGGAATAGAATTGTCTAAAAAAATAAAGTAACTCTTGTAGTTTTTGCGGTGTACCGAACACCTGGCGAGGATTCAAATTTTGTTTTGAGATTGACAGAGCTGACGAGGGTAGAACGATTTTACAAGAAAAGTGTATTATTGCTGGCGACCTTCATCTACGTGGAGAGTGATGGAGCGGCAACAGACAAAGCATCTCAGGTAGCAGTATACAGGCTGGTGTAGGGGAATGGATTGAAACAAGTTGTGACGTTCCCAACCAGGGGATATTCTCTGTCAGACGTTTTCCTCGTAGGTCGGACCTCTTGCATGTTACCTGCATTCGACGCTCCCGGCGATTGGCGGCCATAAATGCGCCCTAATGGGGTTAGAGTGGAAAGGAACGGTAAGTGTTAAATCTAATAATAATAGGAAAATATGGCAATTCAAAAACATTGACATATTTCGGTTCCAAAATCGTGTTATAAATAATTATTGAGTATGAGCTAGTAGCGGTAATAATATAAACGACATTTGGGATAGTTTAAAACGAATTAAAGAAGATGGTATGGATAGATATGTACCGTACAAATATCTCAAGGAAAACGCAGATCCACCCTATTGCAACACTGAAATACGTCGACTAAAGAAACGTGCAAGAAAAGCATCCTGCAATCGCAAACTATATGGATCTCACTCACGATACAGGAGAGATGGCTCAGGGTATCAACTGATGTCATTGCAGTCCCTTTGACCGGGAAGTCCTAGGTTCGAGTCCCGGCGGTGGCTGGATTTTCGACACTAGTTTGTCTGCTAGGTGGAATTCAGTCAAGGTTTGGAGAATTCTAGCCGGCTGCTCTGATCGGTAGTTTTCGATTAACACCAGGAGAATGCCGGAGCAGTACCCTACCAAACGGGCCACGGATCTTCCGCTCTCCTATCCTCTCCCCTTACGTCCACACACACTAACACTGGCAAACATGCTGGGAAACCGGTCGGGAGGGTAGAGCTTGTCCCGACTGGGGCGGTGCCCCGCTGGTGGGAGATACCTGGTTGGGGAATACCCCGCTGGCCGACGGTAGGTCGGCGCCGTATCTCGCCATACAGCGAGGAAAATATCACCGTGACCTCCCGATCAAAAACATGCACTGCACTTACCGGACTCATGGCTCTGGTAGTTGGCGTGCCCGGAATCACTAAAACAATCAATCAATCAACAACCACAATTTGTTGAAAGAAATATTGCAGAAGAAGAGAC